GCCATCACATGTACTCTCGTATGGATTGTCGAGAATAAGTGACATATCGTTGGGATTCAAGTCTTTCACTCGAATCACAGATTTGTCCCAAAGTTGTGGCCAAACGTCATGTGCTTTGCTATCAATTAATACATAATATATTTCAATATTAATTCAAAAACAGTCAACAAATACCCAGTCTTTGCAAAATTGGTCCACATTTTCATCACATCTATACTGAAATCATAATCAGTTTCCGTATAAAGCGTTGGATTTCTTAAGGGATGACCGAAAACAAAGTCTATATCCGCGCCGTGACAAACGACTCCTGACTCACATGCGGACAAATTAGAGAATTGCTTGGATTGACAATTAAAACGATAAAAATATAATTTGTGTCCATTTGTGGCCAATCTCTTTGCGAAGTGATATGTGGGACAAGTGATCACTAAATCGCCGAATAATTCATTAAACGCTGCCTTAAGTTGCGATGAATTGGTTTTGTGGACACCTTTGAGGTAATGATCGCACACTTCGTTCACATCTATGTTATGGTATTCGCGGCTCAAATCGCGGACCACTTTATGAAACAGTTGTTCAGTCATTTCGGGAAATAAAGCGCGAGTTAGTAGTGGGCCCTCGTCTTTGACAACACCGGCCATCACTTCAATGTCTGTTTTGAATATTAGATTACAATTAAAAAAATTATGGTTAATATTATATGATTATAAAATAAACACAATATGAACATGCCCAAATTATACGACACTTTTTCAAGACTTTTTTGAGATAAAACGGGTAAGAATTGTGTGCCAAACACCGGATGTGTGATAACAAAAATATTTTCATTATCGGGTATCTCTATAAACAGGTTCGGGTCTTCTATTGCCCGCAAACAGTCCAACCATTTGTAGTCATATTCGTCGCAATTTAAACGTCGGGCCAATTGTTTGGCCCTTTGAAGGCCCTCAACAGTGCTCAGCGCCGGACGCTCTCTGTTGTACATAACAGACCCGCTTTGCATAATAGCCCTCTTGAATAGGCC